CAAGAATTGAACTACTTTATGGCGACGAAAAGATAATATGACAACAAAGAGAAAGAGACAAGAATGAGAAGAAACAAAATGAAATACTAAAAAAAGAAAGAAATGAGAAAAAAATATAAAAAACATTACCAAATGGCAAAAAACATATGTTGGCAGGAATCAATGAAAAAACAAAGCATAACATAAAATCATTAAATATGCTCGAGAAGAGTTAACTATGAAGTAGAATAGCCACGACTACTTCAATTTTGGCATAGAAAACAAAAGTATTTCCGGAATTATTCTAGTTGACAAAAAAATAATTCAAGAACTGACAAAGACGTTTGAATTATTCTAGTTGACAAAAACTTTTGCATCCTACTAGTTTGTACTAGAAAATTGCGCGCAAGTATCTGAATAATGTAGACCTTTCCCCCGTAGAGTAAGCACAAAAAAAACAGTTCAACATTACCCTTTTCCTGACATAGCAGTTTGCATTGCATGGTGGTCTAGATTTGTTACACATATCTTTTGTTCATGCTGCTGTTTCTACTGAAGCTAGACCAGAATGCAACAATGGTTTATGTTAAGCAATGGGTTTCAATGGTTTCAATGCATAATATATACAAATGTCGCTGGTTATTCGTGTGTATAAAGATATTTAATTGTATTATAGCGAAGGTTTACGAGTATGGAGTTTTGTTATTGCTTTTGCTTTTAATAAAAACATGAAAATTTCAAAGTACTTGCTGGAAGAATATTGTTAAGTCATTTTTGAATCTATCTCTCTTCTTCAAATTCCAAACACCAAATTCTTCTCTTCTCTTTCCTCCTCCTTTCTACTCCTTTCATTCACTCCCTACTTTTCTCTTCCTCTGTCCTCAAACCCCTCATCTCCTCTCCTCTTCCACAGGAAGCCCACGTAAAAAATACATCGAAAATAAATAAATCACACTAAGAAGAAGAATAGGTGATCAAAATGGTAACCAAATATGAATGGAACCAGTGCTCTATAAAGATGCTCCCGGAAGGTTAAATCAAGCCGCCAATGGCAACACAACTCGAAGATTGATTGTGCAGACGAATACAGAAAGATATAATGATGAATCAAATTATAATTACTTAATGAATAGAATTTTAAATAAACGATTTATTAATATAGTTTTATAATTTAATTTCGGTTCTGGATAAACACAAGCGAGCGCCGGTGAGATGAATACCACTCGAGCTACAACTATGAGTAAATGGTGCCACGACCAGAAGCGCTAAATCTGGATTGGAATAACAAATAAAATCACCGCAAGTGTCAAAAAACAATAACAACTAAATCCCTAAGAAAACTTGGAGTTCAATTATTAAGCAAACAATATAAATTTCAAGACGTAACATTGACTAATATTTCTCATGTTGGTAGGCGAAAAAAAATTGAGTTTGCCAAATAAAAATTATTCGCAAGGAAAACCAGAATATCAAACAAAATCAAAGCAAAGGTGAAGCAAATCGACGAATACTAGTGATCACATGATCACGTGGGCTTCCAACATAAAGAGCTTAAAGTTACATTATGGCTTCATTTCTCCACATTCATTACTGATGAAATTACCCAAAAACTACCAAGTTTGACTTTTGTTTTAGCCACAAATATGTAAAATTTGCGATCTTTGGGTAAATGCTGCATCGATGTCTCTAGTCCAATTAAATCAAACAATATAAACTTCAACATCAAAGAATTTGTGGTTTAAACGTATCAAGGATTTATTGATACAGTCAATAGACAAAAGATGTTTCATTGAAAGTCTTGGTTTTAGTGTGCCAAAAAACAATTTTGTTTAAAAAGCAATATCCCATGTACCATGRAACAGTCAAATAGTAAAGATATGAATATGAATATGAAGACCGCATGGCACTATGATAAACCCGATATAGAAATGACTTTCTTTCATTTCTATATCCAGTCAAATAGTACCCGCTTTAACAAGGCTAATTGTAGGGACAATTTCTTAAAATATCTTAATATGTCGGAGAGAGAAATTTGTGTTTTTGGTACATTTATGTTCAAACCTAGATAACAAAGAAACTATCCAAGTACGTCCGCAATGAAATTTTGGATTTGTATCTAGAAGCAACAGATGTGCTACAGCCTGTAACACATGCCTGTATTATGCAAAAAACACTTTCAAATTGAATTCAGATAGTCTTTGAATGTTGATGTATAAGGAGTGCAAGAATATTAACTTGATTTTAGAGGATGTCAAACAACTGTTATCCCTCCTTTGACGCACAGAACACACAAGATTTGGTTGAGGAAAACTAGTTTCGTCTTTACTAGAGCTTTTCAACTTTTTCAATTCCTCGATCTACAACTGTTGTGAATTGAAAAGGTTTAGTAAAGTCGAAACTAGTTTTCCTCAACCAAGTCTTTTGTGTTCTGTGCGTCAAAGGAGGGATATATAAGTATTTTAACATCCTCTAAAATGAAATATCAAGAAATATTAACTTGGGTTCTCGATAAGCACGGGCCAGCACCTTCGTACAATCATTTCAAAACAACGAATTTGGAGGATCGTCTTCTTTGCTTGCTTCAACCTTTGTTACTGAACGGTAAGACGAATCAAATTATGATTTACTTTACAAATGGAATTTTAATGTGAACGATTTATGAATACAGTTTTTTTTTCGCTAAAACTAATTATTTTTAACTTTGATTCTTGACAACCAGGAGCGAGCACCTGCACTTCACAGACAAGTCTAACCACAATTATACGCGTGGCCGAATGGAAGTGCCTTCGATTTCTTAGACCCGTCTACACGAGCAAGTTTTTATGTGACAACTATATGTGACATTTTTTCTGTCCGTGTTGACAGGCAGCCAGAAATTATTGTTGAAGACTCGCGCCAACTGTGATTTTGCACAGCGGAGATGTCATAAACAAAACAAATTTAATTACCATAGTTTCGTAGTAGCACTAGAGATAATAAAACTTTAAAAAATACGATATATTTTTTAATATTTTTTATATATATTTTTAAATATATTTTTTAGATATATTTTTTATTTTCATATTTTTTAATCTTAAAATGTTTCAGAAGAATGAGGATGGCATAATGTAATGCTGAAACATGTTAAGATTAGAAAAATATGTCGTATTCTTTAAAGTTTTATTAAAACAAATTTAGTTGGTGTTAGCTCTTGCAACAACAATAATAGCATTCTCTCTGTTGAATCCAGTCGTTCTGCTTACTATCGGTGTCGCCATCTTGGTTGGTGTGCAAAATGTTGAGACGTGGATTCAGTGTGACGTCGAAATAAATTACCACATTTATGTGACGCCCGTCCACACGGGAAATTATCGATATGYGACAATTACATAAAAACTAGCATGCCAGCATTCCAGCAACTACAGTTGTCACATAAAAWTTGTCCAATTTTGCTCATCTACACGGCAATTAAAAATTGTCACATAAAAATTGCTCGTCTAGACGGGGCTTAATTCAGAGTTCTGAAGTTCAAGACTCAGAGGAGCTGACATTTCTTTAGATTTCTTTCTTTGCCAAAAAATAAATAAATTCAATCAAATATAGAACAGGGAACCCGGTAACGGTAACTTAATGAGAAAATTAATAGAGAACAACGAGAATAAATAAATAGTTCTGAACACAAATAACGCAGGCTCAAGTTTACAGGAAAGTGAGTGAGTGAGTGAGTGATTGAGTGAGTGACAGATTCGTCCCCCTCCAATAACTCTTCGATTGCTTCGCAATCTTCGAGTTAAAAACGATGTCCGCCGAAAGGCAATGACTGTTGAGAGTCACGCATTCACACACCTCGGTGACTAATTCCCGGAATTTGCTAAATCACGTGATTTCTCCGAATCTCGGGTCTTTGCTTCAACACGCCATTACGTTTAACAGACAAAGCAAAATGAAGTCATTTGTCGAGGACCTAAAGCTTCAAGTCCAGTGTTCTCTGTGTAATGAGACAATGTTTGAACCCAAGTTATTACAATGCTTTCATACATTCTGTAAGACTTGCATCAAGACAAATGCACAACTTGATGATCAGGTCAACATCTTCAAGTGTCCTCAGTGTGACTCRTCAACCGAGCTCAAAGAACTCAACGACGTGGAAGACTTAGAGATCAGTCCTATACACTCAAGAATCTTGCAAGTCTTGTCATTTGTTGAGAACCAGAAGGTTTGCTCGATTTCTGCCAGCCATAGTGATGCATTGTGGCGATGTCTCGACTGTGATCGCTCGTTGTGTGAAGACTGTCTACGCAATCATTCTACATTCATTAAAGATCACAAAGTCGTTGCATTGTCTGAGATGACGAAGGAAAATGTCGAGCTCATGTTTAAAAAGAAAATCACCTGCAAAGAACACACTAATCAAGATAATGTATTGCACTGCCAAGATTGCAACGAGTTTGTGTGTTTGCTCTGCTTGAGGGATCACCATCACAATGACCACAAGATAACATCACTACAGGAGTTTATCACTGCCAAGAAAGATTCTCTTTCTAAAAATCTCGAAGAAATCGAAAAAATGCATGCAAACGAGGAGGAAAAGAAACAGCAAGAGCAAATTGCAATCGACATCAATCGTGATGGAGAAAAAGCTCAAAAACAAGTCAAGGAACTGACAAAGAAGCTGGTGAAAAAAATAACTGATCAAGAGCAAGAACTTCTAAATGAAATCCAGTTGTGCATGACGAAGGCTGACAGAAATTTACGCATACTACGTCACACTCCAGCAGCACAAGAGTACATCAAATATCTCATTCAAAGTGAAGTTGTAAGTGGCATGTTTGATATGCGATCACACGCAGAATATTTGGAAACGTTTATCTACAAAACATATGAAAAAGACATCGGTGGGATAAAATTCAAACCGAACAAACTGCTTTGTGAACAAATTGATACTGGCTTAGGACTTGTTCAAGATTATAAGAAAGTGGATCCAAAGATGAGTTTGGTAAATTCTAATCCATTGTACGCCATGTACGCTATGAACAAAGAAAAGTTGACAGTGACACTTCGAACTTATAAAGGGGAACTTTGTGACCCGCCACTGGATGACGTAACAATACATATGACGCCTGAAGATGACGTCAGAGTAGGAGAAAACCAAGTTACAATGGACGACCTGATTGGGGTGAACTTCACTCCACTCGTTCCTGGTCAGCTGACAGCAGAGGTTAAAGTACATGGTAATCCAGTATCCAATAGTCCATTAGTGATAAATATTCAACCACAAAGAATACAAAACAAGACGGTACATCCAAAGCTGCATGCCTTGAATATTGTGCCTCAAGATCTTTCAGGTATTGCAGTGAATAAATCCAACACTAAGATTGCTGTAGCAGACAGGTCGGCCTGTTGTGTCAGAGTGTTCAACATGGATGGAGATTTGCTATTGTCGTATGGTAGCGAAGGAAGTGGACGAGGACAGCTGAAGAATCCAGAGGGCTTATCATTTCTCGATGACACAGATTTAGTCATAGCTGATTGCAATAATCATAGAATATGCATAGTGGACACAACCTCTGGTAGGCTTGTTACAACCTTTGGTTGTCAAGGCAACATGGATGGACAGTTCAACGGCCCACGTGGAGTACATGTTGATGATGATTCTAACATCATTGTATGTGATTATGGTAATCATCGTGTTCAAGTGTTCACAAAGAATGGTGACTATCTATATCAGTTTACAATACCAAATAAACCTTATAGCGGCCCTTATAGCACAATTAAACACAATGGACTGTTCTATGTCAGTGCTGGATCAGTGGTACACGTGATTGAGATGAAAGACAACCAGTCACCAACTACAGTAAACACTATTGGTGAACAGGACTACTACAACCCTAGAGGTCTAGCCATTGATAATGACAACAATCTTCTGGTGTGTGGTTGCAGTTCCGGCAGTGAGGTATATATTAAGTTTAAATCGGATGGTCGTTATGTAGGAAAAACTAGTTTCCTAAAATGCGCACTGAAGTACTTAGCAGTGCTAAATGATGGTCAGATTATTTGCACTTCAGATAAAGGGAACGTATTTTTCATGTAGGCAGATAACGAAAACACAAGTAAAATGAAAATATACAATAATTTGATATCGAGTGCACGCACTTCAAATCCGTTAAGTATTAACGGAGCTAATTGATAATTGATAGGATAGTTGTTCAACGGTCGTCTAGCCCGGTGACGTCATGAATGTTTTGGCGAAGTGCATCATGGATGGAAGTATAAAGATGGCGGACGTCTATAAAAAACTACCACAACGAAATTAATGTTGGAAGTCAAGAATATTTTAGAAGAGCTTTAAAGAAATTCATACACACTAGAGTGTCTAGCATATGTTAAAAGACCTCTCCAGAAAAATAACTAATTTTATTTGTTTGGAAAACAGCTGTACTTTCGTCAATCCCATGATGCATCACGTCAACGTCCTTAGGGTAAATCTTAGAAAAAATACACAGCGAACCTGGATACCTTTGTTACCAAAGTCTTTTTAATTGATTTGGACGATCAAATATTTTATCATTTGGCTACTTTCTCTGTTGTTTGCTTTTCCGGTTGGAGCATCGAACGGCATGTTGGATAGATTACAAAGTCTGTCTAACTTTTCCATACTTTTCATTTGAAAAAATGGCCATCCGATAATAGCACACTTTCAATATTCTGGATGAATGGCCACGAACAATGGAACTGAGGACGAGGCTCAAGGGAAACAAAGTAATTATCTATCGTTTCCTGGACTTTTCTATTTTCAACCAAAATCGAAAGTTGGCTATTTATTTAGTTTAGTAATATAATTCCAAAAGAAAAAGAAATATAACATTTAGATCATTAAAAAAAAAACACAAAAACCATAACAAAGGTACTAAAACAAGGTGACGAAAAGAGCTAAATAGAAAGTTGACTTAATAGAAATAGAGTAATTATAATAATACATTTTTTGCTCTTGAATTCTTGATAGAGTATTCACAATTTCTTGTAATTACAGTGAAAGAACAAAAATGTATTCACAATTTCTTGTAATTACAGTGCAAGAACAAAAATGTATTCACAATGTCTTGTAATTACAGTGAAAGAACAAAAATGTATTCACAATTTCTTGTAATTACAGTGAAAGAACAAAAATGTATTCACAATTTCTTGTAATTACAGTGAAAGAACAAAAATGTATTCACAATTTCTTGTAATTACAGTGAACGAACAAAAAAGTGTTTTCCATTTGTATAAGAAAATGGCAGCAGCTGCAAATCGTCTAGTGTGAGTTAGAGGGTTTAACTGATGATCATGTCGGTTAAGCAATCATGCAATGTGTATGGAGTTTTGTTACTGCATTGCTTTGCTTTTAATAAAAGAGACGTTTAATTTGAAGATTAATCACAACTCATCCCCCTTATTATCGGAGTCACAACCCCTCACCTCCGGGAGTCATTATATGCTAGAAAGTTTAATATCGATTGGGATGTTGTGAATAATCCCCAAGGTATAGCATACACCTATTTCAAAAAACGTTGTCAGGGAGGAACGGCAAACGGCGATTGTCGAAGGGAGATTGCACGACCGAAAGGGACTAYTGTTACACTGTTTTGATAAACAAAATCTCACTTATTGGATTCACCTTACATACAAATGGAGACTAAAAGGAGCGAATGTTTACCACAGACCATCTTACASYATAAATCAGTTGTTATTGCCTTTCAATTAGCAAAACCCATGGGTACTTTCGGTAGTGCAATCGCCGTTCGACCATTGACATTCGTCATTTTATCTGACAACCTTTTTTGAAATAGCTATATGTCGATGAAACAGATTTACTCTTTCCAGTAATGTGGTTGACACGTTACGTCAGTTCACTGCGAGTTCAGAAATTAAAACTCAGTGAAATTAAGACTGAATTGAAGAAACTAGTGAAGAGATGATTCTACAATATCAGTGAAGGATCTCCGGATATTTGAAGATCAGGCATTAGGGACAAAATTCAATCCTAACTATGATTCAATGATTTGGTATCTTTTAGTGTGAATGCAAGGCAAAGATAGGAAATTTTGAGCGTGTTCAACTTTTGATATGGAAATGTTAATGTATAAAAAGTTGGAAACTAGCCATTATCGATATAATATTTTCTGATCATTTATGAGTTAGAAAAACTACCTGTACATTACGCTATTTTGGAAAATTGCCGCAGAGGGTACACGTGGTTTTAACCCGAAGACCAAAAAAACTCTTGCTAATCCACAACAAGCCCGCGTTGGAAAGTCCAGCTGCGAAAAAAAAACACATTTCAACGACCATCACAACATTACATTTCAGTTCTTGAGCCTGGTCGGTACTAAAACCAGTACGAAGAAAATACCGGACAAGAAACCGACCAAGCGAAAAATATAAGTGACGCCGAAAAATACCGTGACTTTCCCTAAATCTCGCTGTACAAAGTCACGCATTCTTACAACTCCGTGACTAGTTCCCGGAATTGGTAAAATCACGTGATTTCTCGGAAGCTCGAGTCGATTTTTAACTTGAAAGTTTATTCCGTAGGCCATAAAGACATTCTTCAAAGCAAATACGGCAAAATGGAGTCATTTCTCGAGGATCTAAAGCTTCAAGTCCAGTGTTCTCTGTGTAAAGAGACAATGGTTGAACCCAAGTTATTACAATGTTTTCATACATTCTGTAAGACTTGTATCAAGACGAATGCACAACTTGATGGTCAAGTCAACATCTTCAAGTGTCCTCACTGTGATTCATCAACCGAGCTACAAGAACTCAACGACGTGGAAGACTTAGAAATCAGTCCCATACACTCAAGAATCTTGCAAGTCTTGTCATTCGTCGAGAACCAGAAGGTTTGTTCGGTTTCTTCCAGCCATAGTGATGCATTGTGGCAATGTCTCGACTGTGATCGCTCGTTGTGTGATGAATGTCGGCGATATCATTCTGAATTCACTAAAGATCACAAAGTTGTTGCATTGTCTGAGATGGCAAATGAAGACATCGAGGGTATGCTGAAGAAAGAAAGTCCTTGCCAAATTCATTCCAATCACGATATAGAATCGTACTGCCGAGACTGCGACATGCCTATCTGTCTGATTTGCTTGAAGGATCATCACAAAAACCACAAGATAACTTCAATGCATGAGTTCTTGGCTGCAAAGAAAGATTCTCTGTCGAAAAACCTCGAAGAAATCGAGAGTCTTAAAGAAGATGAAGAGAAAAAGAAGCAACAAGAACAAATTGCAGTCGGCATTAAACGCGATGCAAAACAAGCTCAGGCAAAAATCAAAGAACTTACCAAAAACTTGTTCAAAGCTATAATTGATCAAGAGCAAAAACTTTTGAACGGAATTCAGAAGAAGACAACGAAGGCTGACTGGAATTTACGCATAATACATCACGCCCCGGCAGCACAAGAATACATCAAGTACCTCATTCAAAATGGAACTGTAAGCGACATGGTTGACATTCACTCACAAACAGAATGCTCGAAAACGTTCACTTACAACGCATTTGAAAAACACATCGCTGGGATGGAATTCAAACCCAATGAAATACTTTTTGAACAAGTGAATACTGGCTTAGGACTAGTAAGAGAAACATCTCCAAAGGCAGACCCAAACATTTGCTCATTTAAAATTGAGCCTGCTGAATTTGAGGCAACGAAAAACGCAACATTGACAGTGGTACTCAACCAAGGAGAGCC